GGGGAGTTTGCGTAGGCAGTTTGCAGCACAGAACGGGTTCCCAAAGCTTGCCAAGGGGATCATCGGACTGGGTCTCCGGGAACGCGACGCCGGAAAAGCCTATCCACAAAATATTAAAAAAATTATAAAAGTGGGCGGTGGGTGCATTGGCATCAGCTGGAAGCTCCCTGGACCGGAGCGTCTCGTCCCGGTGAGGGACAGGAGGTGGTGCTGAGGGCATCAAGTGTGCTGTGCGGTTCGCTTTTCGAGCTGCTCCATGCACTTAGGGTGTTTTCAGTGGTTTAACTGTTGTTAACTAGTGCCCCTCAGAAGCAAGCCATATCCCACCACCCCCCAGAGTGCGATAAAGTCAGATGCTTTGACGTTTTTCGGCCAAATCAAGTAACTGCAAAGTGTTTCTGCATAAAAAAAAAATGGGAAATTTCCTTTAAATGTCCTTTTCCAGTATTCTTTTTTGTAATGGGAAATTTCCTTTAAATGTCCTTTTCCAGTATTCTTTTTTGTAATGGGAAATTTCCTTTAAATGTCCTTTTCCAGTATTCTTTTTTGTAATGGGAAATTTCCTTTAAATGTCCTTTTCCAGTATTCTTTTTTGTAATGTAAGCTAGCACAATTTTCAGAATTTCTTTTACAGTAAGGGGTGCTTAGTTGTCTGTGGATATGCAGAGATATCTGATTGTAATGCCAAGTGGACGGGTTGGAAAGGTATACCTTTATGGGATCACGAGGTTATATAAACGTACGTTGACGTTGTCACACCGTGTTGTGAAGTTTTCTGTTTTGTTTTGGAATGCAAGGGAAATGCCAAGCCGTTTCAGCCTTGCAGATCTAATGCTAGCTTAGATCCTGAAAAAATATATGAATAGAAGGGTTCATTATTCACAATTTAAAAGAATGCTACACGTGACTGTGTAAATTTCTACGTCCAAGCCAAGCTAGTGGGCCTGCACTCTTATTCCCAGGCCGTGTAGGGCTGCTGCTGTGTTTTAGAGTGTTGCCTCAGGAATGTTTTGAGTATGAAATTTATTTTTCTTCTGCTCCTGAGTTTTAGGTGGTTAGTATTTTAAATCTCTATATGGCATTGGTTAAATAGAAAGTTTAAGTTATAAAATGCTTGAGTTCATCCGTTTGCAGTTGGAATCATGCATATTTGTGTAAGCGTCACATTTGCTTTTCACGTGTTTTGTGCAGAAGTGGACTCTGTTGATGGAGTGCTTGACTGATGAAAAGAAATAAGTATTTTAAGAAACAGTATTGGCTTAAAATATTGTATACATATACATACACACATTTATATATATAACCATTATGGTGAAGTAGCTGTTAAAGATAGATTTTTACAGTCTTAAATGATGTTTAAAATCCTTCTTTGGGGGACTGTTGAGTTGGTTCGGGCATTTGGCTGTGTGGCATGACCCCACCATCTGGGTTCAGTCCCAGGGACCCTTAGGATGGAGAGAAACAGCTTCTCCAGGCCCTCTGTGATACAACGTGCCCTCCAAATGTAGTGACCCCCAAACCTAAACCCTTTCTTTTGTGGGCTTCCTATTAGTTTTAAGTTATAAGCAGCAATAGTTCTTACATTAAGATGTGGGAAAGATTTTTTTCCCCCATAATCGATGTGGGATAATGATATGTTAACTTTTTTTTCTTCCCTTTTTTTTTTTTTTTTTTTTTTTTTTTTTTTTTTT